CCCCAAAACCCCAAAACCCCAAAACCCCAAAACCCCAAAACCCCAAAACCCCTTTTTGAAAATTAATAATTGAACAAGCGTAATTTTTAGTGAAATTTAATCATGAGATTTCCCAGCTGACGATCTTTGTAATGACTTAATCCTTGGTTAAGGCTTTATTCCGAAAATGGTGATCCAAATGGATCTGAAAAAGGCAAGAAATCATCTTCACAATGATCAGCTTTGACTGTGAGAGGATTTTTGAGTATACACATCACAAACTCATCTAGAGGCTCTGTATCTAGGTTTTGTACTGTTGATATCACCAAAGGCTGGTTAGCTTCCAGCATTCAGGCTAAATATATAGTGATTTCCTTCTTATGAAATAAGGTTACAAAAGGTTGAGCGATGAATTTGAGCATCTCTGTTACAAAGTCTGGGAGAGCAACATCCATTCTTCTCCCGAGGTCTAGCAAATCAGCTATTAGGTTAGACACAGACATAGCTTCAGAGACTAGCTGAGCCTTAGTACAGATCTGATAAACTTGAAGGATCATGTGGCTTACCGCCTGGAATATGGTTGTTCCTTCAAACTCTTTCTCAAAAATAATTTCTGGGTCTGCTTTGATAACTTTCTTCACAAGATCGTTGATTTGGGGAATGTGGTTAAACCCAAGCCTAGCTATCCCAGATAATTCTTGGTGGTACACTCACTTGAGAATAGTGGGTATGATGCTTCAGATCTCTATAGGGACTCAATCTAGTGAATCCAGGACCTCTGATAAACAATCGATAATGATCATGAAGCTATCTTCATCGTCTCTCTGTAGTAGATCTTTGAAGAAATCAGTAAAATTTGGCAACAAGAATTTTAGTAAGGGTGGATTACAAGTCAGGTTGATCATTAAGAGAGAAAGAATAAGCAGATATCCATACTTATTACCTCCTTCTGATACTTTGGCTCGGTCTAGCATCTCTATCAATATTTCGCCCAAGAACTGTTCTAAGAATAAGGAGTAGTTCTCCATAAAAGCTTGGAATCCGAACAAAAGTTCTGTGTTGTTAAGACAGATGAGATCTATGTACAGCTTGAGGACCGATTCTAGAGGTTAAAGGGAAGCTTACTGAGTATCTCATCACTTCAGACTTGCTTAACTAAGTCAGAGTCAAGCTCAGCAAAGGTCTTAGCAGCTTGGATTTTCAAACAATTTGAATAGCTTATACTTCTCTGTATGATCTCATCGCTTTGGGAGTATTCTATGACTAATTTAAGATTGCAAAAGTGAAATCACAAAGAGACTCAAGACCGGAAGATACTCTTACCTTGCTCAGTTCCAAGTAGCTTTGAATAGAAGTATCAAAGATTTTTCATCGTCTCCTGGTTATAGCTTATAAATTTGTAATCCTCAAACACACATAAAATCCTGTACTTAAGAATTTGGTCTTGAACTGAATCATTTCCAGTGAGTAAGAACTTGGAAAAACCTTCAAGAAGAGTATGACATTTTTCTAACTCGTAATCTACAGCTACTACTTTAGATGCCAGGCATGCGAACATTGTTATCAGAACATCTTTTTGCCTGTAGTCTATAGTCTCATCTTCAATCATTGAGACAATATGGCTGTAGCAGAACTCAAATAGGATCTCCATGCAAGGGTAGTTGTCTTCTCTAATATTTTTAAAGTGGGTGACACCGATGATTAAGTCAATCACAACATTTCTGACGGTCTCGATGTCTTCAGCATCTGTCCTGTTAAGATTAAAGAACTCAGTGGGGTTGTCTGAAAACTGAGTTTCCTCATTTTTGGTCAGCATAAGATACTTTAGGAGGGAATTCTGGATTAGATCTCAACAAGGTTTAAAAATATCTTCCTCTGTAAGCAAATCTTCATGTTTTGTTCCCTGTGCTTGTCTTGGGGTACTGAAACATATCCTTTTCCTTCAGAAAGAGTTTGTGATGAACTTGATGGCCTCTATTAGTAGTTTTTCGCTACCACGACCCACTAAATTTTAGATATTTCCTTACCATGCTCACAGCATTGGAATCAGAACTGGAGTATCTTGACAAAGTATTTTGAAGTGAACTCGTAGACGACTGGGTAAGCATCATATTCTCATTCATCGATGGTACCATAATAGATGGCTACTTGGGAGAAGAAGTTGACTACCCTCTTGGAAGCATCAAGCATTATCTCTTTATGCTTATTATCTGTAAATTCACTAGAGACTTGTTCATAGTATGAAATTTCTTTACTAAGCAAAGGCATGAGAAGCTTGACCCTTTCCTTCACTAAGTGCTTACTAAGGATTGAAATTGCCAGACTTTTCACCTGTAATATATCTGACTCAGACTGTCCAACAGACCTTGCTAATATTCCCTCAATAGCTTGAAGGAGGTCACCTCATTCTTGGATGAACTGAAGCATACTATTTTTCAGTAACAACCTTAAATATCTTCTTGAAAATCTTCAAGGCTACGAATGTTGGTGAGAATTCTTCGGTGGTCAGCATCTTTTGGATCTGGGGAAGTAGCTCAGACAAGCTACCTGGCAGTTCGTTCTCTATAGCTGTAACGTAGGCAGTCAATAAGACATTGAACTTAGTATCTTCTTGTTTTGAGTGAAGCATCATCAAAGATTCTAAGATACTTTCTCTTAAGAATAGCCTGTCCTCCTCGCATAAATTTATGGCTGAAGGCTCTATCTCTGCTTTCTTTGAAGCAAAAGGGTTGATCTCTGGTGTATCATCAGCTATTATTTTAGTATAAGAGCCATGAATGGCTTCAGTAGCCATTAATCCTTTATAATTTGTCTTGATTATATTACCCAGTTGTACAGTAGCTATGAAGGCTACATCATTGTTTTCCTCATGGATAAGGTTCATGAGGTTACGTATTTGATCCTTTTCATTGATTTTTACTAAGAAGAGGTTTTCAGCCATATTTCTATCCTCATTATCACTACTGATAGTGCCTCTGAGGATCTCCTCTAAACTGTAGTTTTCGCGATGAATCATTCTGGATTAAACTAGTTATTTTTATTAATTTTCAGTACTTTAAACACATTGTGGGGTTTTGGGGTTTTGGGGTTTTGGGGTTTTGGGTTTTTGGGG